TGAGAGTAAGTGATTATCTCCCTTTCACGAACAGCTCTATTGCACACTGCCTTTACAAGGACCCGTGAAGATTCCGGGATAGAATAGGTCTTCAGCAACCCATGCTTGCCGTAAAAGGCGACTAACGGGATCGGGTGGTCAGGCTCGCTGACTTGGTTGATTCATGCCATCGATCCCAATTGCGTGGATCGATGCTCACGATATCAATCACTTGATTGTCTGGTCCAGACTCGACTATTTTACAGACCGCCGTCATATAGCTGGACTATTGCTGAGTGCGGCGTTAAAAAACAAACAAACAAACAAAGCCTTTGCAGTGAATCGTATGTTATTAAATCAGCCAGCGAGAAAAGTTCCAGGAAGGAATTCAGGTTAAGCATGTAACCCGCACTCAATATTTCTCCCTTCACACTGCTATTGCAACGTATTGTTCAAGACGATTAAATATCAGACCTCTACAAAGTAGGACTTTGTTCAATAAACAACACATGGAAAACAACGGGTTTGATATGAGAAATTTGTAATTCGTTGTTTTCATAATTACATGTATGGTGCTTGCTGTGCATAGTTGAGCACAGTATTATTTCAATTGCTTCCTTCAGGGGGCGGTTTACGGTTTGTTGCTTTAACAGTTTTTTTAACTTCCGGCAGAATTTATACATCCATATATGTTCTTTGCTTCTCGATACGTAGGAAATCAACAGGTTGCTCTGTAGTTTGCAATTATTTTCCCTATCCGTGAAGATCCGGGTTAGAATAGGTCTTCAGCAACCCACGCTTGCCGTAAAAGGCGACTATGCTTGTAGTAAGAGACGACTAACGGGATCGGGTGGTCAGAGTCGCTGACTTGGTTGATGCTGGTCATCGTATCTTAATTGTGTGGATGGATGCTCATGATGTCAATCCTTGGATTGTCTGGTCCTGGCACGATTATAAACAGACCGCCGTCATACAGCTGGAATATTGCTGAGTGTTCAACAAAAAACGAACAAACGAACATGGTAGAATGGAGATATACCTACTGTGATTTGAACATTGAATTGTTTATACGTTTAAAAATTAAAATTACAATAAGCGGTATGTACTCTACAGTGGGGTCATCAGATTTCAAATTCCATTCCTACCTTGATGTAGACCCCACGCTTACCTAACAAAAGAAATCCCAAACAAATCATTTGGTTTAACAACAAGCATACAACCAATTGAGAACAAAATATAATCCTCACAGGTCCATTTTTACAGATGGGACCAAAGATGGATCCTGAACTGTCTCCTCAAGAGTACCAGATACTAGTTCAATCTTTACGGCTGAGGCCAAAGCAATTATAACAGTATGTACATACACTCTTAAAAAAAAAGACTTCACAAAAAGTCCGGAATATAAATTGGATATATAGTATTGGAAAATGTTGGTGGCGTCAAAACACAGCCATTGTCGATATGCAATGTCTTAAACGGCATTGTTTTCACGCTTGTTCAAAATGTCATGGAGGAAAACAGTAAAACAAAATACACGTGCAAGTTAAGGAACGGAAAATGCACAGAAAATGCACGGAAGATCGCCATAGGACGTATCCAAATAGGGAATCGTTGTCCTCTGTTGCACGGCACTTCAACGTCCACCACAGCACCATTTGCACCTGTGAAGATCCGGGCTAGAATAGATCTTCAGCAACCCGTGCTTGCCGTAAAAGGCGACAAACGGGATCGGGTGGTCAGGCTCGCTGACTTGGTTGATGCATGTCATCGATCTCAATTGCATGGATCGATGCTCATGATATCAATCACTGGATTGTCTGGTCCAGACTCGATTATTTACAGCCCGCCGTCATAAAGCTGGAATATTGCTGAGTGCGGCGTTAAACAACCAACCAACCAACCATTTACCGCCTTTGTTACCGATACACAGAGTTCAATTCCACTGCAGACCGTCCGAGAACCGGCCGGCCAAAAGCTACCACCCCTGCACAGGATCGCTACAATCGACTGTTCCACCTACGTAATCGCAATGACGCAGCTACGGAGACTGCCAGGAACCATATTCGCGAGGCTGGAATCCGACCCAGAAGTCCAGTTATCGTTATCGTTTTGCAACAGATCCATCGACAGCAACACATGCGTTGGTGCAATATCTTACAGCCTTGGAAGTTGAGAAAACTGGAGACGATGAATCACGATTTCTTCTTCACCAGATCTCCAGATCTCAACCCAATTGAATACCTCTTGGATGAGCTCGATCGGCGCGTACGTCAGCGTCAGAACTCGCCGCAGACAATCCCACAACTGGCCAACGATCAGCAAGCAGAATGGAGCAGAATTTCACAGGACACTAGTTAGTGCCGAGGAGATGCAGAGCCGTGATTGCTGCCTGGGGCGGTTCAGCGCAACCTTATGTCCTTATGTGACATGACAATGAACAGTTTGCACTGCTGAGGCCAAAGCTATCTTTTCAGCTTTGACCTATATCAAACATCAAAACCAATCAAAAAAATTCATCATTTTCTCCGATTCATTATCATGCCTTCAGGCACTTAAAGGTATCTCTTCAAATCATCCTATAATCCTTGACATTTTAGAACTCTATCATTATCTTTCTACTGGCCTTGCCTTGCTGGTTACCAAGTCATGTAGGCATAACAGGTAACTCAAAAGCCGATACTGCAGCTAAAGCAGCTCTTGACAAACCGTTGTCTCCACTCTTCAGCCCGTACAGTGATTTCAAACCAACCATCAAATCTTATACTCGGGACCTCATCCAAAAGGGGTGGGACACCCAAGTAGGAAGCAATAAACTACACGAATTGAAACCAACAATCGGTCATACCTACTTGGGTTGTCAGTCAAGACATGACGAGGTCGTTTTACGACGGTGTCGTATTGGCCACTGCTTAAGACAGATGAGGACGAACCTCCCAAGTGTATCCCTTGTGATGAAAGGTTCACCGTCAAGCATATATTGCTTGACTGTGTGGACTTTGCAATCGCAAGGGATTCACATTATCAAAGTGTAAATCTAAAAGATCTCTTTTCCCATGTCAGCGGGCATCTCATCATAAATTACTTGAAAGAAATTGGTCTGGATAATAAATTTTAAATATGTATGTGAATAATTAAATGCTTGTTTTTAAATTTGGTGTGATGCTATTAACAACTGACATTATTAAAGGCTCTGTCCATCAATTGTTTTTAAATATGACATTGCATAAATAACTAAATTGTGTATATATTAGCTTGGTCTCGTAGCTATATGGCTGAAATAATGCCGACGCGACGTTAAATTTTAACTCACTCACTCACTCACTGTACAATGACAACATGTGATTATCGAGCTCCAAAAATTTCATATTCGTATCTTTGATATTAAATTAAATATATCAACTTTATTAGGTACAATAAATTTACTAAAAATCTACCTGTGCGTTTCTTCTTTTTTTTTAAAAGCTTATATTTAACAATCTAAAAAATTCAGCATTTTTTCAGATTCATTGTCTTGCCTTCAGGCACTTATTCGTGGCTCCTCAAATCATCCCATAATCCTTGACATTTTAGAACTTTTCAATTATCTTTCTACAGGTCAATGTGACATCGTCTTTTGCTGGTTAACAAAATATGTAGGCATAGCAGGTAACTCAATGCTGCAGCTAGAGCAGCTCTTCAGAAACCTTTCCCCTCACTACTTATCCCACACAGCGATTTCAAACAGACTATCTATAAGTAATACCAAAACCATGGGCCACCCAGGTAGCAATCAATAACCGTAAATAATCAACCAGGGGAGTTTTGTTTTTGGGGTAGGGGTGCGAAATATGTCTGAAAACGACATCACTTTCAAATCCCTCGAAATCATGAACAGATGGACCACCCAAGCTGACAGCAACAAGCGTGAGTGAGTGAGTATAGTAGTACGTTGGTTGGTTTTGTTGTTTAACGCCGCACTCAGCAATATTCCAGCTATATGACGGCGGTCTGTAAATAATCCAGTCTGGACCAGACAATCAATTGATTGTCATCATGAGCTTGATCTACGCAATTGGGATACAATGACATGCATCAACTAAGTCAGCGAGCCTGACAACCCGATCCTGTTGGTCGCCTCTTGACAAGGACTGTTGCCCCTTATGGCAAGTATGGGTTCCTGAAGACCTATTCTATCCCGGATCTTCACGGGTCTTGATTGCAGTGTGATGGAACTGAACACACAGAATACCTTCTGCAAATAGGGACGATAAAACCGTTTCCATAATCACATGCCATGTTTGCTAAAACTACGAATCAGACTGTATCATGAGCATGTGTTCATGAATTACTCGTCCTCAGCAACCCATGCTTGCCGTAAAAGGCGACTATGCTTGTCGTAAAAGGCGACTAACGGGATCGGGAGGTCAGGCTCGCTGACTTGGTTGATACATGTCATCGATCCCGATTGCGTGGATCGATGCTCATGATGTCAATCACTGGATTGTCTGGTCCAGACTCGATTATTTACAGACCGCCGTCATATAGCTGGAATATTGCTGAGTGCGGCGTTAAACAACAAACGAACAAACGAACATGAATTACTCTGAAGTGGCGATAAAAGATGTTCGCCAAAAGGTCAGCGTATCCTGCCCAACCGGTGGCAACCGTTCATCCGGTAAAACACGGTAACGTGGTAATTTGCATCGGACATCATTCTTGTTACGTAAGTTTTTGAAATGTCCTCCTTTTGGGGCAAGAGTCGTATGAAGCTTTTTGAAATCATCACAGAAACAGTAGGATTACAGTGTGATGTCTCCTCGGCATTAAGGGACAGGGAATAGCCCAGTTTATGAATCATTCGCTCGTCACACCGAAGTTCGATTCCCAACATGGGTACAATATGTGAAGCCCATTTCTTGTGTCCCCCGCCGTCATGTTGATGGAATATTTCTGAAAGCGGCGTAAAACCATTCTCAGCCACCCGTTTATACTTAAACTAACATCCTGTCAGTATGATTATAATAAATCAACAATAAATTATCAACAGTTTGATATATTTCAGTTTAATTTCCACAACTAGAAACAGCGAGTTGCCAGTACAAGTATGTTACAACTGCAGCTGTGAGTCGTGTTGCATCTTCATCGGAATGTAGGCACTGAGGGGATGCGGCTACAGGGGAACCTCGCAGATGTATCGCATTCGGCGCTCGCATTTTTGGACAGCAATCCCCATATAATCCAGATAGCCACAGTTGTACCGGGTTGAGGACATTGGCTGATCCTTCGCCCAGTTAGTGACAAACCTGGATCCAGAGTTCCATTTGAACCCAGTGGTAGTTACCCGCTTCAAACCAATCCACAATCTGTAGTCTTTATATTCTGAAACGAGAAGAATCTTTCTTGTGGGAGCTACATGATTTTGGTTTGGTTTGTTTAACGCCGCACTCAGCAATATTCCAGCTATATGACGAGATAAATAATCGAGACTGGACCAGACAATCCAGTGATTAATATCATGAGCATTGGGATCGATGACATGCATCAACCAAGTCAGCGAGCCTGACCACCCGATCCCGTTAGTCGCCTTTTACGACAAGCATAGTCGCCTTTTACGGTAAGCATGGGTTGCTGAAGACCTATTCTACCCCGGAATCTTCACGGGTCGGGAGCTGCATGATGGCCCAATACATCACTTTATATTATTACTAATGTTTGGTTCGTTCGTACATATAAAATATTAGTAAACTGTTTTGGTAATTAAGCAACCGTCTTGGTTAGCGTGTTTGCTCAATGAAGCATTTGTGACAGAGACTTCATTTCTGAGATATCCCAACATACCCCATGACAGTAGTCTGACAAATGATTGGAGGACATTGAAGGACAAGGTTCTCGCTATGGATTGGGCGTAAAACAATATATTAAAATTTATTGGAATTTGATGAAGCTTGGTATTAATGATTTGACAGGTGGGTCCCGATTGTGTTGTTTTTTAGTGACCTCCATAAAAGGTGCAGGCGCCGCGATTCGCAGTGCAGAGTTGAATCCCCTGGGCACGCCTAAAACCTATGATTGTGGGTTCGAATCCTGGTTCGCCCCGATTATGTTTCTAGGTTTGTCAGCACCATACCCGTGCTCGTGGGTTTCACCGAAGTGGTAAAACGTGTGAGACTTGCATCACTTCGGGCTTTACTCCCATTAAGCTGACACGCCTCGATATAACTGGAATGACGTTAAAAGCGGCGTTAAACCCAACTCACTCACTCACCCTGCTCTTCGCTCAAGGGCGTTTGGCCCCGTGTCCTGACATGAATACTGGAGTTGCGTGTTATTCCCACTGTTTATGAATCTGGTAAAGAGAAAAGCACACTTACTGCTGGAGCCCACACTCTTGGACGAAGCAGTCAAGACTCCAGACATAAAGCCATACTTGTCAGGAGAGTCCAGATCCATAAGGCGGCCGTTCTGGGTTTTGGCGCACTCTCTCATGGCTTCAACATAGGTCGTCTCAGCAGCACTTACTTTGAAGCACATACTCGGATTCTGGGCCCTTGTGAATCCACTTGGACAGGGGACTGAAGAAAGTGAAGAAATTGGTATTAGTTGACGCTTAACCATCTGATCAACAGTACAGTAAACTACGGTTATAACGAACTCGAAGGGACCAGTAATTTAAGTTCGTAATAACCGTAGTTCGTTATAAGCATATAAACAGTATATATACATCAAATGGCCGGGACTAAAAAATCAGTTCGTTATATCCGTCAGTTCGTTTTAAGCGTGTTCGTTATAAACGTAGTTTACTGTATTTGTACTACAAGATTGGTTGGCTGGTTGGTTGTTTAACGCCTTACTCAGCAATATTCCAGCTATATGACGGCGGTCTGTAAATAATCGAATGTGGACCAGCCAATCCAGTGATTGACATCATGAGCATCGATCAACACAATTGGGATACGAGGACATGCATCAACCACGTCAGCAAGCCTGACCACCCGATCCAGTAAGTCGCCTCTTACGACAAGCATAGTCGCCTTTCAGGGCAAACATGGGTTGCTGAAGACCTATTCTACCCCAGATATTCACACTACAAGACGTAGTATCTAAGCATATTTGAATTTTCCTGGCATTAAACATTATAACATCAGAATGGAGCATATGCATAACGTGTACTAATCTTTATAATTGATGCAGAGGTATATGTTTATAAAATTATGTTAATGCTTGAAATTATCTGTTCAACATTTGTTCAAGAAGTGTTCATCTTAAATATTAGTACGCTCTTCTGGACGATTAATGGAGATTACGTATTTCGAAACCTTAAAATATGCTTATTTATTGTTATTATTTTCAGTTTAGTTACCAGTTATCAAATCCTTTACGATAGCATTCTGGGCAAAGGTCACACAAACCAATAAAGCAGATGAACCCTGATCGGACTCCATGAAAATGAAGGATTACTGGGTTCTTGAACGAAATGTCTGATTTCCAGTACGATTTAGCTTCTTTACCAAGTAGATTTGGAAATGTCAATCTTATTAAAATCGAAACACTTATGTGCCTTTATTTTTCCAATTTTGTGACAAGTCAGTCGGACATTGACAGCGGTCAATATAGTTCCAATCGAATTTGACAGAAGTATAAATACTATACAGGCCAAAAAACAATTTCCTACAGAATTGTTTTAACTTTGTCACTGAGCAGTTCCGATTTATTTCCGCCAAAGTCAGCTGTGTTTAATTCAAGACAGGGGCCAAAGCTGCCGAGACCCGTGAAGATCCGGGGTAGAATAGGTCTTCAGCAACCCATGCTTGCCGTAAAAGGAGACTATGCTTGTCGTAAAAGGCGACTAACGGAATCGGGTGGTCAGGCTCGCTTACTTGGTTGATGCGTGTCATCGGATCCCAATTGCGTGGATCGATGCTCATGACATCAATCACTGGATTGTCTGGTCCAGACTCGATTGTTTACAGACCGCCGTCATATAGCTGGAATATTGCTGAGTGCGGCGTTAAACAGACAAACAATAAGGCGTACCTACCAGACCTTTAATATTTACATATTTATCTGTAAATGACGGATACTGTTTTAATTAGGTTGGCTTGACCTTGCCAAGAAACCTACCCATCGATGCTCATGACAATTTTTAGATTGTCTGGTCCAGACTCGATTATTAACAGAACACCGACATATAGCTGTAATATTGCTGAGTGGGGCGTTAAACAACTACAAAGCAACAACCAAATTAAAAAATAAGCGGATCATACCATAAAAGACATAGTCTCCAAAGGTGTTTTGTCTGGCCCTGAAGCACCTCGGGGCCACATCCTCTCTGTAGCCTTCGGGGCAGCCAGCTGGGGAGTAGAATAATAGAAATAAGATCACCTCCGGCTGAAACATTGAATCAGTAGATCTAACGTTATAGTAATTCGGGACCTAAACTAATAACAACTCGGGGCCTAATGTAATACTTATCCGGGGCCTAACCACCATGTACTAATCAAAACGATGCGTCGACGTGATTTATGTAGGGAAGCGTATTCATGCCATATTCTAAGAATAATGTCATGTTCCATACATATGCCATTTCTATTCTCTAGTATTTCCTGGTTATCACATCAGTGTAAATAGATTTGAAGTGTAATAACCAATATTGAGGCAATAATATTTAATGCAAGATATATTTGACAGCCAACCTGAAATTCCAGCCACTGCGCATGATGCCAAAATGACAAGTCGCCACATCATTGTAACAGGAGAATTCTGAAAGACAAATATTAATTACTGCAGACAGGTGTTTGAATTTGGCAATGTGAACAAGCGAAAACTTTCCTTTCAATATATTTGCTTTGTCCTACACAGTTATAAGTCACCACGTGATCACAAAGCAGTTACGTCTTTGGTCATCGTAACCACACTCAGCATTACCGTACTGCACACGTCAATGACAACCCCTTCTCAGTTGTAAACAAGGATACTGCTTGAAATGACGTTTGACCCGTGAAGATTCCGGGGTAGAATAGGTCTTCAGCAACCCATGCTTGTCGTAAAAGGCGATTATGCTTGTCGTAAAAGGCGACTAACGGGATCTGGTGGTCAGGCTCGCTGACTTGGTTGATTCATGTCATCAATCTCAAATGCGTGGATGGATACTCATGAGATCAATCACTGTGTTGTCTGGTCCAGACTCGATTATTTACAAACCGCCGTCATATAGCTTGAATATTGGTGAGTGCGGCGTTAAACAACAAACTAACCAACTAAAATGACGTTTATAATAGAAATCTATACAAGCATATCATTAAAAAAGCTTCATGGTACACACGGTTTTGCCAAAGAAGCTCAATTAAACCTTTCTTCTTTTGAAAGGGAGACACGGGTGGCCCAGTCGTCTAAGGCAACGCGATTCGCTGTGCAGTGTTGCGTCCCTTGGGCACGCCAGAAACCTATGATCGTGGGTTCGAATTCCCGTTCGCCCGATTATGTTTCTAGGTTTGTTAGCACCATGCACGTGCTCTTGGGTTTCATCGAAGTGGTAAACGTCTAAGACCTGCATCACTTCGGGCTTTCATCCACCGCCAAGACCGCCTCCGTGGTCTACTGGTAGAGTGGAAGGTCCGGGGTTCGATCCCCCGCCGCGTCATACCAAAAGACGTTAAAATATGGTACTTGTTGTTACACTGTCTGGCGCTCGGCATTAAGGGGTTAAAACAAGGACTGGTCGGCTCGGTTTCAGTATTCTGTGTCTGAGTGGGGTATTCATGTTAAACTGCGGCATGGAATCTCAGTGAGCTAGCACTATAAATCGGCATCAGTCCGGACTAGAACAAGCACCACACAACACACACACGTACATGCACGTCGCTATATAAGTGCAATAATCTTGGACGCGACGTTAATCCCCATATCACCTCACCTCCACCGTCAAGCTGACACACCGTGATATGACTGGAATACTGTTCAAAACTGTTTCAACTCACCAAACAGGCCCTGGTTCCTTATGCCAAATGATTTTGTTTATTTTTTGTTGTTTAACGCCGCACTCAGCAATATTCCAGCTATATGACGACGGTCTTTAAATAATCGAGTCTGAACCAGACAATCCAGCGACTGATATAATGAACATCGATCCACACACCTGGGATACGCTGACATGGTTCAACCTAGTCAACAAGCCTGACCTCCCGATCCCGTTAGTCGCCTCTTACGACAAGCATGTAATCACAAATACATCTGATGAAAGTAAATACTATTAAATCGGTTGCGCCTTTTTAACTTTTGGCAAAGAACATGTACACAAAAACATGACTCCTTGATATGTTTTGTTTTAATTAATATAGCTAAAGAACAAAAGAATAAGTGCGAGTTTCAACTTCCATTAACAAACACATACTGACACACAATGACAACGTTTCATCTACAGTAAACTACGGTTATAACGAACTCAAAGGGACGACTAATTTTAGTTCGTTTTAACCGTAATTCGTCATAAGCATGTATACAGCATTACTACAGCAAATAGTCGGGTCTAAAAAGTTAGTTCGTTATATCCGTCAGTTCGTTATAAGCGTGTTCGTTATAACCGTGGTTTACTGTACTTTAGCACGAAGGCCAAGAAAAGGATTTAGCCATAAACATTTCCGCGCATGACAAACAATGATGACAATGTTACAAAATGCTAGTCCTGTGTTTAACTATATCATGACTAAATATACAGAATAACAGAGATTTGTGTGGCCATTTTGTCAAATACTACAAACATTATAACATCTCATGACTAATTACATGTAAAGAATTTTTTTCATCTGCCAGCCGCACGCAAAATTCCAACACTGATTATTTGAAATATAACTTTGTATTGATGACTAAATTGTGTATATATCAACGTGTTCTCGCCGCTATTTGCCTAAATCCTAACACTCAGTCACATTGAAGCCGTCCTTATTAGGATAATAATTACAATTTGGCCTATCATAAACATTTTAATGAGAGTATGTAATCATAAACATAATTCTTATACTTTACCAATAGTTGAGTGTACAAACGTGACTGCCTGCAGTGTCTCCCGAGTGATGAATGTAGAACTGTGTCTCTTTATATTGGAAGCATTAATGGTATTTGTATGATGATGCTTCTCAGGAACGCCTAGAATTATTGAGTTTCATTGCAATCTGTAACCACGGATAATAGGGATTGATTATTCTCTGTGGTTTAAGTTTCTTATTTACGTAATGTAATCACACTAATATATGTTGTAATATCATCATGAGTTATAATATCATCTATATATTCCAGGTGAATTTGATAGTAAGATAGTATGTATCAATATATGGATACTGACATTGATAGGGGGTATGGACTTATGGTTACTATGGTGAATGTAGATGTGAGAAACTTGGATTAGTTGACGAAAGGCTTCCATATGTACAAGCTTCCAGAATACCTGGCATCATCACTTTTTGAAAGTGGTTCATAAACACATACTTTTGGTTGTCTGTTGTCTTTCACCGCTCTCCAGCAATATGCCAGCTATATGACGGCGGTTTGTAAAAAAATAGAATGCAGACAATCCAGTGATTGACATTATGAGCATCGTTCATGCAATTTGGATTGGTTTGTTGTTTAACGCCGCACTCAGCAATATTCCAGCTATATGACGGCGGTCTGTCAATAATCGAGTCTGTACCAGACAATCCAGTGATTGATATGAACATCGATCCACGCAATTGAGATCGATGACATGCATGAACCAAGTCAGAGAGCCTGACCACCCGATCCCGTTAGTCGCCTTTTACGACAAGCATAGCCACCTTTTACGTGTGTGTGTGTGTGTGTGTGTGTGTGTGTGTGTGTGTGTGTGTGTTTGGGTGGGGTAAGGCTTAATGCCGAGCGCCAGACAGGGTGTGACGCGGACGGGGAACGAACCCCTTACCTTCCGCTCTCCGGGCGGACGCTCTACCAAAAGACCACGTCGCCTCTTACGACATACCGATCTATTCTAACCCGGATCTTCACTGGGTATTATGGAATGGATGGGTGAGTGAGTGACCTGGGTTTAACGCCGCTTTTAACATTATTCCAGTCATATCACGGTGTGTCAGCTTAAAGTGGGAGGAAAGTGAGTGAGTGAGTGAGTGAGTGAGTATGGTTTTACGCCGCTTTTAGCAATATTCCAGCAATATCACGGCGGGGAAAACCAGTTAAATGGGTACACACATTGTACCCATATCGGGAATCGAAATCGAGTCTTAACGCGTGACGAGCGAACGCTTTAACCACTAGGCTACCCGACCGCCGGTGGGAGGAAAGCCCGACGTGATGCAGTTCTCGGATGTTTACCACTTCGGTGAAACCCACGAGCACGGGTAGAGTGCTGACAAATCTAGAAACATAATCGGGGCGAACCGGGATTCGTACCAACAATCATAGGTTTTTTTGCGTGCCCAAGGGACGCAACTCTGCATTTTGGAATGAGATATTAGTCATTTGTTCAGGGTTGCTCACATTTTCGCGAACACCTGGTATCATTACTATTTGATAGCGATTCATAAACATGATACAGTTGGAATCGAACAATCGACTATTTATTTCTGTTGGAAATGGAAAGGGTTTTGTCGCTTTATTTAAGTGTCCAGGTAGCGGTCATCCAAAGTCTGTCTGTCTGTCATACATGAAAGGTTTATAGATACCACTGACATGGCCTCAGGTAGCATAACCGTTGTTGTGTGGCCAAGGATACATGGCCATGATATAATTCACTGGATTGTCTGTAAATAATCGGACCCGTGAAGATCCGGGGTAGAATAGGTCTTCAGCAACCCATGCTTGCCATAAAAGGCGACTATGCTTGTCGTAAAAGGCGACTAACAGGATCGGGTGGTCAGGCTCGCTGACTTCGTTGAGGCATGTCATCGATCCCAATTGCGTGGATCGATGCTCATGATATCAATCACTTGGTTGTCTGGTCCAGACTCGATTATTTACAGACCGCCGTCATATAGCTGGAATAACAAACAACCCAACCAACTGTAACTAAATCGAGTCTGGACCAGACAATCCAGTGATTAATAAGTATCGATCCACGCAATTAGGATCCGATGACATGTATCAAACAAGTCTACGCGCCTGACCACCCGATCCTGTTAGTTACCTCTTACTACAAGCATATTCGCCTTTTACGGCAAGCATATTGCTGAAGACCAATTCTACGCCGGATGTTCAAGGGATCAGTGTGAAGTACACGTTGGGATGACTCACATCCACCAACTACACTTGCAACGACACTTTATAAATATGGATGAGATATTATTCGTGGGTGCAATGTGAGCAGATCGCCCTGTATTTCGCTGACTTGCACCATGCATGAATGAATAGTAACCAGTAGGACATCTGCCAAACACACAAAATTGAAATACATAGATGTTGACTGAGATTACTCCATGAATGTAGAGCGCATTAATGAAATTATGTTACACATACCATTAAAGATTAATGATACTCCTAAAAACAATATAGCACATATTTCAAGACCTTATCAACTCTCACGAGGACTTCTTGAGTTCCGTTTTCATCTGACCATGGCTGGTGTTTTATTTATAACGCATAACTGAATATCACATATAGTTTCTCCGGGGTGGATAAGACCCGTGAAGATTCCGGGGTAGAATAAGTCTTCAGCAACCCATGCTTGCCGTAAAAGGTGACTATGCTTGTCGTAAAAGGCGACTAACGGGATCGGGTGGTCAGGCTCGCTGACTTGGTTGATGCATGTCATCGATCCCAAATGCGTGGATCGATGTTTATGTTGTCAATCACTGGGTTGTCTGGTCCAGACTCGATTATTTACAGACCGCCGTCATAAAGCTAGAGTATTGCTGAGTGCAGCGTTAAACAACAAACCAACCAATCATCTGACCATGGCTGGTGTTTTATTTATAACGCATAACTGAATATCACATATTGTTTCTCCGGGGTGGACAAGGTCTTCAGCAGTAAAAGGCAGCAAAAGACGATGTCACACTGGCCACAAGAAAGATCATTATAAACTAATATGTCTAGGATAATAGGGCGGTTCGTTGGTTAGTTGTTTAACGCCGTACTCAGCAATATTTCAGCCATATGACGGCGGTATGTAAATAATTGAGTCTGGGCCCGCAATCCAGTGATTGATTTATCATGAGCATCGATCCACTCAACTGGGATCGATGACATGCTGCCAAGTCAGCGAACCTGACCAACCAACCAAATAATGCGTTGGACAGAAAAATAGATCCAAGGTCCCACCATGGATGAGAGATGATTCTGATATACATAGTTCAAGACCATGCTTTGTCATCATCTGCTGGAGAATTATGTTGAGATCTCTTTATTTGTTAATAACTGACTCACGAGCAGTTGCTGAAGATGATGATGACATCAGTGAGTGAGGCCACCTCGCTGGGGATCATGGTTGGTTGGTTGGTTTGTTGTTTAGCGCCGCACTCAGCAATATTCCAGCTTTATGACGGCGGTCTGCAAATAATTGAGTCTGGACCAGACAATCCAGTGTTTAATATCATGAGTATCGATCCACGCAACCGGTGGTTGTGCGCATAGCCAATATTGAAACTCAGCAATGAGTTGGTTTAAAAACACTGGTTGATGATAGTTACATGATTATGATAGGATTGTGTCACACAGGGGGACTATAATTTTACGATACTTTAACTCCCTGGACAGAGCCATCATAATGTCAGTTGGTAATAGCATATCAGTGAATGTCTTTGGGTCGTCGTCGGTGGTGTGTACACTGTTTCTTGTCTGTCGTTAGAGGCAACTAACGGGATCGGGTGGTCAGACTCGCCGACTTGGTTGATGCATGTCATGGACCCCGTGGATCGATGTTCATGATGTCATTCACTGTATTGTCTGGTCCAGACTCGATTATTTACAGACCGCCGTCACATAGCTGGAATATTGTTGAGTGCGGCGATAAACAACATGAGACAGAAACATTTTCTTGCCAAAACACCACGAGGATAGTGTTTCTTCTGTCCATGTCTCCCTTGTGTCACAGTAACGCGCTTACATGATACCGCGCCAAACCAGGAAGTGCCAAATAAGAGCATGGGTCAGCAATTTTCAAGGTAGAAATTGATCTCATGATTCTGCCACTGACATAAGGACACTTCAAGCAATGCCGTGTGACATCGACACTGATGTAACACTCCTTCCCAGGAAACAAGCTCATCTCAACGGAGCTCACAATACCGATAATGTAACGAAAGTGTCAAGTTGGACGGAGTTTTGTCTGTAAAGAACCACAAGGCCCAGCTCGCTGCAAAAGCTCTATATTCTACGAGCGCTTCAACCAATTTTCTATCACTTACAATCAACGCGACTGCCAAAACACGTGCTTGATTATTTCTGGTTTGCAAAACCAAAGGAGCTTTAACTGACATGTCATACCATCAAGATTCCAAAAATATTGTAGTAGCACTCGGTTTATCCATATAAGAACAAATGGCCGTTTATTATTACAGAGAAGTGTTCATTCAATCGATTGACCCGATATGATCCGGGGTGGAAAAGGCTGTACCTGTATATATGAACAGTCATACCCGGCTGCACAAAAGCGTTTGAGTAAATGAAAACGACCAGTTACATTTGAAAGTTATGTTCAAACTTTGTGATCAAACATCTCACAAACACATGGTCACAGCCATCATGGATGTTACGTAGGGCTACGCTGTGAACATGTCTCGTTGTGAATAGACATTGCCTTTATTTGTCGCTTTCTTTGTTTGTTGTTTAACTCCGCACTCAGCTTTTAATATCCCAGCTAAATGACGGCGGTCTGTAAATAATCGAGTCTGAACAAGACAATCCAGTGATTGATATCATTAGCATCTATCCACGCAATTTGGATCGACGACATGCATCAACCAAGTCAGCGAGCCTGACCACCCGATCCCGAGCTATTCTACCCCAGATCTTCACGGGATGGTTGTTTTCAGGCTGCGAGAAGATGGCTAATTTCATGTTTTTAGACCCCAAACGTGTTTTGTGTAGATAGAACGAACCAAATGTGTATACCGTGCCGAATTTAAAGACATTCCTAAACATGTCTAATTCATGTTCACATTCTAAACACATTTTGGACATGGTCGTACTTATCATTTGTCAAAGCTTTTTTATCTTTTGTCGACGAGTGTTGATAATGTTTCATATCAAAAGACACGAGGGTGAGATTTATCACCCAACATAATTCTACCAACGTAACTTATATACAGTAATAACTTGTGTCGAGATTGTTAAACGTACAGCTATCAAGCTTCAGTGGAAGAGATATTAGTGATGTCATTTGCTTGTGACGTCATGGTAACCTATGACGCCACAATGTTCTGCAAAGCTAGTTTGGGATGATAATCGTACAAGGCTCGCCCAACAGATTGTGTACATGTGATGTCAGGGTTCTTTTTCAAATTAGATTTGTTTCAGTAGCGACATAAATGAAGTATAGATAGTAATTTTCTTTTACATTCAACTGGAAGACGAAAAACGTCAAATGGGAAAGTAACTCTGGGTGACGTTCTCAAGTTTGTTACCGAGTCAGTGGAGGAACCAATTTAAGGATAGTCATGTTCCCCAAGCATCCAATGTGTGGAAGACTGGAGTTTTCTCCCTGAGAGTTCTACCTGTATCAATGCCCTATATATGCCATAAGGAGTGCCGCGGATGGAGAAATACCATTGGATCTGTTTGATTACGCCTCTTACGAAAAGCATAGTCGCCTGTTACGACAAGCAGGGATTGCTGAATACCTATTCTCTACACAGATTTCCATGGGTCTCTTTGGGTTGATGATCTCTTCAACCACAGCCTGTACTAACCCGGATCTTCACGGGTCCCATCCAGCAGAACGACTAGTCCAAGACCAGTGAAGATCCGGGCTATCGACGATTTATCGCCAAAGACCAATGGGGAGTACCGCCGTACTAATCCGTCAGGGGCGTGCGTGTACTAGTGGTCATACTCTGTGACGGTTCCGCTTTTAGAATGCGCTGCGAATCATTTAGCGCGAATTTCAAGTAGAGCCGTAGCAAAGTTTATGTGAACATGGCCAGCAAGTACCTGCTATGGTCCGTGCCAAAACTTAAATGTGCGCTCTTTCAACGAAAAGCTTCGACAGCTGGAAGGAAACTTGAACTGATCGAGAGGTATGTTACCCAATTTTTTAGTTATCAAGTATGCTTACATTCATAATTTGCTATATGCACCGCAATTTCTACTAGGCCCTTTTCTTGCCTGTCAAATAAGTGCCATCTCCGTCACTGTCAGGCCTACTGTGACTGACAAAATCAACTATCGATATATTTCAGTTGTTGCCTTCCATTAAATCATGACCTACTGTATAGTTACCTATAACCAAAGTACTAACTGTGGCTCCCGGTCTCAGATTATATAAATCCTCGATAAATGGCGCAGTCTCCATTGCGTCGTCTGTTAACATTCACCGCACTCCTGAGACGTCACCTGTTTTCGAACACCCGATTGCTTTTGTAGTTTAGCGGGGCTTTTTATGAATATGATCAGCGAGGTGTGACACGTAGTTCTCAACAAAATTCGGTACTACTTCCGCCCGTATCCGCCAAAATTTGTTTCAAAAATAATTAAAAGTACTGAGCGTCAATGCATTGGACATATTACTTTAGGATGGGGGTTTCGGGCGGAAGATTTTCCCATAATGCTTGCAAGTCGGCGGTAAAACACAGAAGGTTTATATAACTTTGAAACCTGAAGTATTCACAAAATATAGACGTTTGTCAAATTATAGTGTTACATTTTACTCTTCCTTTTCGTCATGATATTGGCACCAAAATTCTGAATGACTTATGATAGCCGTACAGTGTCTTCTGGCTATAAAGGCATGAGATTATCAAATACAGTTTAATCATACAAGTTTCATTGCTTATTCATGATTCATGATAATGATATGAATTATTTTCCTATAATATGCCCTTATGCAAATCTGAAATAGTAGTTGCACAAGTTAACATGTATTTAATTTTCATTTCAGACTTGAATCTTATGACAGAAATGATGATTTTGTTGGGCCATCTGTCTCCATCCCACGTCCAGAAGATACATCATGGCCAGTGTCAGGATTTCAACAGCTGATGCCTTCCCATCGTCAACTGCTGCCTCCCATTTCCAAAGAAACCATTGAGGCTTACTTCATCTACCGTATGGCAGGAGACACCAAGCTGCACATGATATCAAGGCCATAGAGAAAGGTTCTCTGTTGTTTGAGGGGGACAGGGTGCTGGCATGCAGTGTTCACATATGTGCATCTACTGATGTATACTTAAGTGGCATCGTCAGTGCATCTATGAAAAACAAGGTAAAATATTTACACACGATAAAAAACAAACAAACAACAAAACCTTTTTAAATTATAATGAAATTTGTACTCAAAGATGAAGCTAATCCGAAATACATTCTTGACATAAAACTGATTGAAAGTGAATTTATTAATGGGAAATTAAATTGCACCTACATCACATTATATGCATGACTTCTATGCTTGGGTTAATGGGGGTAGCCTAGTGGTCTAAGTGTTTACTCATCTTGCTGAAGGCTAGGTTCAATTCCCCAAAAGGGTTTCAATGTGTGAAGCCCATTTCTGTTGTCTCTAGCTGTGAAAGAGCTGGAATATTGCTAAAAGTGGTGCATAACCATACGTACTCACTCACTCTTTCCTAGGTCACATACAATTACAAGGTGAAGGTAGAGAAGACCGGGGAGCCAGTCAACTCCCACTGCGAGTGTCCTGCAGGGAAAGGACCACATTCAACCTGTAAGCACATCGCTGCGGTGCTGTTGATGTTGGAGCATTTCATCTAAACTGGCAGTGTGCAAGTTGGAAAGAGCTGTACCGAATACTTGCGGTTGTTCCACAAGCCCAAAACATCGTACAAAGGTAGGTCATATTACAGCCAAGGAAATATCATACCCAGGCCTCAACTACAATGTTATGATAAGGAAGAGAATGTATGGATGTCAACTTCTATATTATGAGGTCAAGGGGGGTTCCTCATTATATAGAAGTTGACATCCATATATTCTCTTCCTTATGTGCATCACTTCTAAATGCCTTAAGAAACGTTATGATGGTTTATGATTTTGTATATAAAAGAGAAACTGTATATGACTAAATATTATGTGTTGGATATTGGAGTGGAAAAAGGTTTTAAATATTTGTATAAGTGTTGTTTTGAACAGGATTATTATGGCAATGTAGTATCAAAATATTGTATCCAGGATCACCCGTAACAGCAGCAGAACTGCCGTCAAAAAGAAAATGGTCACAGCATATGCTTGACGATCCAAGGCCACATAAATACAGACACATGAGTGGCCACAATGATCATGTGCGCAACATGATGACAAACTACTGCTCAAAGTCATCTCATAATATCGCCCTAAGATATCTTCACCCAAAGGCTGATCAATGTACAGACAGCTGCTAAGGACCATCACTACCAAACAGCCATTTACAGAGTACATGGTTGACACGGCACTGAAGGTACACAACACTGGAAATTCTGACGTATAATACATGTAAAGTTCTTTAAAACCTTAAGTCTTTCAGATTTGATCTTTGTAATACACAGTTAAAATCATAGCTTGTGAGGAAACATAGCAACATCTTACTGTTTGGGGTTGTGAGTCATTTGTAAAATGCAATTAACTAAGTTTGAAAATGCTTAATCATGATCAAGCAGATTAGTTCCCTTGTAAAAGAAAAATAGACTTGTATATTAGGCATTTTTCGGATTACTGTCATGTAAAACAAACTATGCGAAAAAATATTGTTTGGGACATCTCTTTTATGTCTTGACTTTTGTTTTTCTTTACAGGTAACTGAGGAATCTGCGAAAGATATTGAGACCAGTCCCGGAGCCCAGGGGGGGGCACACAGAAAGAAAATGGCGCCTCACAGCCTCAAGGTTTGGAGAAGTGACCCAAATGACCAACCGACGAAATAAGGAGAAGTTGCTTCGGACTTTCCTCCCACATGAAGCTGACACACCGCGATATAACTGGAACACTGTTAAAAGCGGCGTTAAACCAAACTCACTCACTCACTCACTCACTCACTCACTCACTCACTCACTCACTCACTCACTCACTCACTCACTCACTCACTCACTCACTCACTCACTCACTCACTCACTCACTCACTCACTCACTCACTCACTCACTCACTCACTCACTCACTCACTCACTCACTCACTCACTCACTCACTCACTCACTCACTCACTCACTCACTCACTCACTCACTCACTCACTCACTCACTCACTCACTCACTCACTCACTCACTCACTCACTCACTCACTCACTCACTCACTCACTCACTCACTCACTCACTCACTCACTCACTCACTCACTCACTCACTCACTCACTCACTCACTCACTCACTCACTCACTCACTCACTCACTCACTCACTCACTCACTCACTCACTCACTCACTCACTCACTCACTCACTCACTCACTCACTCACTCACTCACTCACTCACTCACTCACTCACTCACTCACTCACTCACTCACTCACTCACTCACTCACTCACTCACTCACAGTAGCGGCACAACATCACAACTGCTTGGGCAGCACTGAGCACGTGTGGAACGTCCCCGAACGAACGGAAATCCTTTTGTCTGGTCATTCAGTGAACAATGATTCTTTTCAATGCAAAATCATGACCAAAACAAATCTATTGATACAAACGAAATTCTGAAGAGTTTCTGCAGGTACTGATTATTTCTATTTCAGAATCAGCACCATGTCGAGACTCATCCTGCTGTTATCCTGTGCAGTGACTGGGCTTTTAGGTACGGTTTCAAATATATTTGCCTAAAATGCTGTTCCCTCGTATGCATGGATAACTCGCGTGGACGTTGTAAACGGTAAATATGGATGAGCTGCACCAGACTATAATTAGTGTAATCTGATACTTCATGTCTCTCATCTTGTCTTTCCTGTATCTCTTTACCAGTCAGTCATTCTTTTTCCTCTGTACTTCCCTTCTCTCCTTCTTGTCTTCCGGGACCGCCTCCGTGGTCTAATGGTAGAGCGTCCGCCCGGAGAGCGGAAGGTACGGGGTTCGATCCCCAGCCACATCTTCTTGTCTTTCCTGTATCTCTTTACCAGTCAGTCATTCATTTTCCTCTGCACTTCCCTTGTCTCTTTGCTGTCTTCCGATCCCGTCTGTTCTTCTCATCTTTCCTCTCTGTCTTCCGTTCCCGACTCTGGCTTCTCGATTCAACTTCCAGTCTACCGCCACTGTGTCCCTTCCCTTCTCTCATTCCTATTTCCTTCCTACCTCTATTTCCTGTCTCTCCGTCCCCTCTGTCCTTCCTGTCTCACCTTCCCGTCTGTACATCTTGTCTCTCCGTCCCCTCTATCCTTCCTGTCTCTCCGTCCCCTCTATCCTTCCTGCCTCTCTGTCCCCTCTATCCTTCCTGCCTCTCCGTCCCCTCTATCCTTCCTGTCTCTCCGTCCCCTCTATCCTTCCTGCCTCTCTGTCCCCTCTATCCTTCCTGCCTCTCTGTCCCCTCTATCCTTCCTGTCTCTCCGTCCCCTCTATCCTTCCTGCCTCTCTGTCCCCTCTATCCTTCCTGCCTCTCCGTCCCCTCTATCCTTCCTGTCTCTCCGTCCCCTCTATCCTTCCTGCCTCTCTGTCCCCTCTATCCTTCCTGCCTCTCTGTCCCCTCTATCCTTCCTGTCTCTCTGTCCCCTCTATCCTTCCTGCCTCTCTGTCCCCTCTATCCTTCCTGTCTCTCCGTCCCCTCTATCCTTCCTGCCTCTCTGTCCCCTCTATCCTTCCTGCCTCTCTGTCCCCTCTATCCTTCCTGCCTCTCCATCCCCTCTATCCTTCCTGCCTCTCCGTCCCCTCTGTCCTTCCTGCCTCTCTGTCCCCTCTATCCTTCCTGTCTCTCCGTCCCCTCTATCCTTCCTGCCTCTCTGTCCCCTCTATCCTTCCTGCCTCTCCGTCCCCTCTATCCTTCCTGCCTCTCCGTCCCCTCTGTCCTTCCTGCCTCTCTGTCCCCTCTATCCTTCCTGTCTCTCCGTCCCCTCTATCCTTCCTGCCTCTCTGTCCCCTCTATCCTTCCTGTCTCTCCGTCCCCTCTATCCTTCCTGCCTCTCTGTCCCCTCTATCCTTCCTGCCTCTCTGTCCCCTCTATCCTTCCTGCCTCTCCGTCCCCTCTATCCTTCCTGCCTCTCCGTCCCCTCTATCCTTCCTGCCTCTCTGTCCCCTCTATCCTTCCTGCCTCTCTGTCCCCTCTATCCTTCCTGTCTCTCTGTCCCCTCTATCCTTCCTGTCTCTCCGTCCCCTCTATCCTTCCTGCCTCTCCGTCCCCTCTATCCTTCCTGTCTCTCTGTCCCCTCTATCCTTCCTGCCTCTCCGTCCCCTCTATCCTTCCTGCCTCTCTGTCCCCTCTATCCTTCCTGTCTCTCTGTCCCCTCTATCCTTCCTGCCTCTCTGTCCCCTCTATCCTTCCTGTCTCTCTGTCCCCTCTATCCTTCCTGCCTCTCCGTCCCCTCTATCCTTCCTGTCTCTCTGTCCCCTCTATCCTTCCTGCCTCTCTGTCCCCTCTATCCTTCCTGTCTCTCTGTCCCCTCTATCCTTCCTGCCTCTCCATCCCCTCTATCCTTCCTGCCTCTCCGTCCCCTCTATCCTTCCTGCCTCTCTGTCCCCTCTATCCTTCCTGTCTCTCTGTCCCCTCTATCCTTCCTGCCTCTCCGTCCCCTCTATCCTTCCTGCCTCTCCATCCCCTCTATCCTTCCTGCCTCTCTGTCCCCTCTATCCTTCCTGTCTCTCTGTCCCCTCTATCCTTCCTGCCTCTCCGTCCCCTCTATCCTTCCTGCCTCTCCATCCCCTCTATCCTTCCTGCCTCTCTGTCCCCTCTATCCTTCCTGCCTCTCTGTCCCCTCTATCCTTCCTGTCTCTCTGTCCCCTCTATCCTTCCTGCCTCTCCGTCCCCTCTATCCTTCCTGCCTCTCCATCCCCTCTATCCTTCCTGCCTCTCCATCCCCTCTGTCCTTCCTGCCTCTCCGTCCCGTCAGTTCTTCATGTCTCTAATTCCTGTCTCTCCGTCCCCCCTGCCCCTCCTTTCCCGACAGTCAGTCTGTCATCCAAACCTGTTCTTCCCGCCTCTTAGCCCGCCCCTCATTCCAGTTTATCCTTCACTCTAACCTCTCTATAAATCCTTCATTGGTACTGAAAAATGTTTAGAGCTCAAAGGCCATTGATACACCAATGACAATGGAAAACAATATGGAGACACCTATATTACATTGGTTAAACTTGAAGTGCTTCTTATTTCATCGTTTACTTTCCACAGCCGCCTGTCCTGCCGGATATAGACCGATGACGCCCACCATGTGCTACAAAACCATAAAAACCGCCACCAGTTCCAGAATTGACGTAGTTGGTATGTTGACTTTGGAGGACATTTTCAAACTTGACGCATCAGTAACAAACATGTGTCCATACAATTCCCTATTTTGACTTGCCTTTGCATGTGTTTGTAGCAGGTTCCATCAATATGGAAAGGGTTTTGTCGCTTTTATGAACAGGGCAGAATACCTATTTTTGATAGGGGCGCTGGGGTTACAGTCGCCACAATTCGCTGTGCAGGGTTGTCTCCCTTAGGCGTGTTATGGTCCTCGGTTCGAATCCCGATCGCCCTGATCTTGAGCATTGGTTCCCTCAGCAACAGACCCGTGTGTTTCACTTTGTTGTGAGCGCCTAAGACCACCATCACCTTGGGCCTTCCACCACTATGAAAGTGGTACTCCGTCATTTAACTAACAGACCAAAACTAACTACATTATGAAGGACACTATGAGCAAATAGATCATTTCACAAAATATTGTCTCTGAAATATGCATATTTGTATGAATTTCTAATATCTTTATAATAGTTACACAGAAATACAAAGTGGCATCATGACACATCTTAAAACTCTTGCTTTGGATAACATTTCATTTCTGTGTTAAATTGTACATGTAGGCAGATGAAAATGTTTACTGATTTATGATAATTGTGCTGTTGGTTAGATCACGTATGTTCTGGCAATACTGGTGCTGGGTTTAGCCTAGTGGTTAAAGCGTTCGCTCGTCACACGGAAGCCCCGGGTTTCTCCCATGCCCAAGGGACGGAACTCTGCAAGGCGAATTGCGGCGCCTTGGACCCCTGGGCCACGTGTGCCCCATTCTGATTGCCAAACAACCTATGATGGTCGTAATGGACAACATGATGGATGTTTGGTTTGGTCATGCTCTGTAAGATGGATGATAGCGTTTTTTATCATCTCGGCGGCGTTGGACGGTGCTGATAATATCAATCACTGGATTATCTTGTCCAAAGTGGATAATTTACAGATCGACGTCATATAGCATGAATAATGCTGAGTGCTGCGCTAAAAAACAAACAAAAACCAACACCAAGTTATGTTTTACGAAAGGTAGTTGACTGTTTCTAGGGCAATGCTGTGTCAGCATTAACCTGTTAAGCTTATTCTTATTCTTATTCGACTCCACCCCGCAGTGATCTGTCCTGATGGATACACAAAGACTGAGAATCCCAAGATGTGCTTCAAACTGAGTGATTTTGCGGATGCAAGAAGCTACCAATCTGCTGTGGATGCATGTCGGAAGACACGTGGCCGTCTCATCGATCTGGACACTCCCGAGAAGTATGGACTCATTGCTGGGTATATGACTGCTTTGGGACCCAAAGGAGGAGACGCACGTAAGAGAATTTCCTTCAAACCTTTCTGGGGAATAAACCCATAAGGGCAAACAAATAAGCTACATGAAACATATGTTGCTTTCGTTTGCAGCTTATCGCTGCACTTAACGATATTGCAGTTATTCAATAATGGTCTTCCACTGTAAAGATATGACCGCTGATGCTTGACGGTGACGTAAATGTGCTGTCTGGCAATGTCAGTAAAAGCCATCGGGTGTCAACAGGGCTACCATTACACAGTTATCAGCCGATTGCTGAGAAACCTTGGTCAAACAAATGCGAAGGACCTTTCGCGGTCAGAACGCCCTTCCGTGATGCCACGGCGTGAAGGCAGGGAACTGCATCGAATAGTACAACCATTTTTAGCAAATGTCGTTTGCACTTCTTTGAACACTTCGTAAAATGACACATTTTAAGTGGACTAACTGACATCCTGCCATTCAACTCTTGCCATGAAAAACATTTTACTTTTATCTAACTCTTGCGTTTTACTTTTTCAGAAAGAAACACTGCATACCGTGTGTGGACTGGTCTGAAACGAAGCTCAAAAACTGGGTTTAAATGGAACACGGGATCCACAAAGGTCCCCGCTTGGGGGAAGGGGGAGCCAGACAACAGTCGCGGTGAAGACTGTGGTCAGCTGGACAGCTGGGGGCTCAGTGACCTCTACTGCCACCTTCGACGCCGGTACATCTGTGAGATCCCCTTGTAACAGCCACCATAACAACTAACCGCATGTGTACATGTAACATCAATGAGAAACCACCTTTTTGAATAAATGCTGAATCAACTGTTGCATTGATAAAATATATGCGTTCCTTGAACTATTTACAAAGAGCTGGATGTGGGAGAGGTCCACATGCATTTTACAGACACACATGTGTGTTTGATAATCCTAATATAGTGAGTGAGTGATTGACTGAGTATGGTTTTACGCCGCTTTTAACAATATTCCAGCAATATCACAGCGGGGGACAACAGAAATGGGCTTCACACGGTGGCCCGGGTCTTCAGGTGACGCTCGAACGCTTTTACCACGAGGCTACTCCATCGCCCCACTCCTATATTGGCCCCATTTGAAATATTTGGCGTTAAGCTCAAGGTGGGCAGAACTATTACTCTGCTTGCAATTTTATGGTTTAAAATGTTAAAACCTCGAAAATGAATATCAAAGCAACCCACAAACATCGTAATTTTGACGTCGACATCGACACACACATAGAAGATCAATAATGGCGTGCAACAACCACATAAGTGACTTCAATCGGAGCCCCATGTTAACAAACGTATAGGCTTTATTATTAACTTTAGTAAATAAACATTACATTTACCCCAGGGAAGCATTTAATAAAAGCCCCCTAAACCCGCAGTTATTCTAGCTAGGTGACAAAAAATGGCATCTGAAAAGTTAAAAACCATTGCAACGGATAGACCTTGTGTGCACCCCTGACAAACATGGCGGAAGTTGTCCGGTATCCTGCATTCTTGCCGTGGCGGAGAGCACCTTCTGCAAGTATTGCCATCCTCGTGTATTCAAGATGTCTACCCAACACGAGAGACCAATCACCTACACTAAACATGGAGAGTGAGCTCTTCAGATGTACCCCAAGACTTTAAACAGCAGCTCTCTGGCTGGTCACGGCTAGGGCTCCACGCAATCTGCTCATGACTTTAAGAACCTGAAAAAGTTATCCTGTTTCAGTTACCTTTCCATTCTCCATACCCCAACCATTCATTGCACCTCTGATAAACTGTGTGATTTCGAAATCACTTCTCTCAGAAACCCTAAATATAGCAAAGTTGGGACATGAGATCCCATACCCGTGCTTGTAGATCTCCGGAGTAATTTTCCGAATTAAAAAACTCATGGATTTTGCCCAAAATATGGCCGAAATATCACGTTGTTTCATTTTGTGTTGGATATCTGACTACCTTACGTTAAAAAATGTCCGGCTGTCTCTAAACAATCGTTGTCGTTGGTTTGTTGTTTAACGCCGCACTCAGCAATATTCCAGCTATATGACGGCAGTCTGTAAATAATCGAGTCTGGACCAGACAATCCAGTGATTGATAACATGAGCATCGATCTCTGCAATTGGGATACCCTGACATGCAAGTAAGCGAGCCTGACTACCCGATCCCGTTGATCGCCTCTTAGGACAAACATAGTCACCTGTTACGGCAAGCATGGGTTTCTGAAGATCTATTCTCTGTTGATCTGTTCGTCGTTGGGACATAATATTTAACGAGATCTGACTTCAGAATATTTTGTGTCCAGTAATCTGCATGAATCACGTGGGAGGCCCTGCGCTATCGGGACAATGTTTGGAAAAGGAATTTCCTCGCACTGTGATTTGTGAGACGCTTCGATGGCTGTTTGTTCGCAACAGCGCACATTACTTTCACGAGTTTATTTTCACCGATTGGCTGACGATGGAACCATGTGACTTTATCAGTGTACTGAATTGAATTTGTCATAATGTTTGTGGCAGTGTGAAAGGGGTCATCCATACCCAATAATCAGAGGACGTAGGGACTTGTACACGTGTTGATTTGAAGATCTATAAAGGTATATTTAAAAAGTCTAACAATATCTGTACATCTTGAAACCTTAATGTGTATCATGTATACTTGTGTGTAAACTCTATCCTCAATTTAGAAACAAGTACATTCCAAAGAAGTTTACATCTTATCCAAATATCAATTTGTTTTGCATACCCATGTCAACCTCTCATATTACTTTATTACAAAATATTTCATTGTACATACATCATGCATTGTGAGTTAGAGTGAGTGAGTATGGTTTTACGCCGCTTTTAGCAATATTCCAGCAATATCACGGCGGGGGACACCAGAAATGGGCTTCACACATTGTACCCATGTCGGGAATAGAACCCGGGTCTTCGGCGTGACGAGCGAACGCTTTAACCACTAGGCTACTCGACCGCCCCTGTTAGAAGATACATCCATATCTTGTAAATACGTTGAACTATGGGCCTATGGCCTTTCAGTTTGCAATGGATACACAAATTGAGGATACTGTTGACACCTGTTCGGATTTTCAAGATTGGCCCACATGATCAGTTTTACATCCCTCACTTCGGATTGTTTCCAAATGTAACTTAAGTATTCAAAACCATTTGTTGTTGTAGTTGCTGTTTGTTGTTTAACGCCGCACCTGCAATATCCCACCTATATGACCGCCGTCTGTAAATAAACGAGTCTGGACTAGACGGTTCAGCGATTGACATCAGGAGCATCGATCTCCGCAACTGGGATACGATGACATGCATCAACCAAGTCAGGGAGCCTGACCACCCGATCCCGTTACTCACTCACTCTGTTAAACAGAAACGAAACATCATCCGTCTGGGGGCCACGGCCTAACCGTCACAGGTGTCACGAGTTTTTAACCGGTAGTTTTCGCGAGTACTACCCGTGTGTCTCGATCACCCAGTACTGTTAGAACGCACGCGGTCAGAGGAACGGTCAGTGTGGTGTGGCCTCTGATCTGTCAATGGTGGCAGGCGCTTATCGCGCAAAGAGTTGATACAAAGAGTTTTCCGTTTGGGAAATAGCCACGTTTGTTATCAGCTTGAAGTCCCTGTGGGGCAGCTCTTTGCCGCTTGGAACGATCACTGGACACAGCTATACGAACCTTTTGATAGTTTAACAGTGGTTCAAAGCGTTTAGCTTGCCGTCCTTGTGGTCGAAGCACAGTAATAAAGGTCTAGGTCGATCTACTGACCTCTGACTTAACCTAAATGATCTCTCAATATCACGAAGACACTAGACTTAATCTCCCTCCATATCCTTTAGAGTGTCCACAATCATCTTCCAACGTTCCATAAACGTATCGCCGTCATTTTCAGGTACGCCGTCTGGAGTCGAGTCTGGACCAGACAATCCAGTGATCATCATCGATCCATGCAGTTGGGTGCGATGACATGCATCAACCAAGTCAGGGAGCCTGACAACCCGATCCCGTTAGTCGCCTTTTACGGCAAGCATGGGTTGCTGAAGACCTATTCTACCCCGGATCTTCACGAGTCCCATTTTATTTATTTCTATTTCAATTGGCTTCAACTTACTTTCTACTGTTTCAGTTAAACCGTACTCATCATATGATCCACTAAGGTAGACTCCAATGACACAAATGACTCGTGGCTACTGAGGTAGAAGTTAATGACACATATGACTCGTGGCTACTAAGGTAGAAGCTAATGTCACATATGACTCGTGGTTACTAAGGTAGACGCTACTCACGTGCATGACTAGTGGCCGCTAAGGTAGACGCTACTCACGTGCAGGACTCGTTGCCACTAAGGTAGACGCTACTCACGTGCATGACTAGTGGCCACTTAGGTAGACGCTACTCACGTGCAGGACTCGTTGCCACTAAGGTAGACGCTACTCACGTGCATGACTAGTGGCCACTTAGGTAGACGCTACTCACGTGCAGGACTCGTTGCCACTAAGGTAGACGCTACTCACGTGCATGACTAGTGGCCACTTAGGTAGACGCTACTCACGTGCAGGACTCGTTGCCACTAAGGTAGACGCTACTCACGTGCATGACTAGTGGCCACTTAGGTAGACGCTACTCACGTGCAGGACTCGTTGCCACTAAGGTAGACGCTACTCACGTGCATGACTAGTGGCAACTTAGGTAGACGCTACTCACGTGCATGACTAGTGGCCACTTAGGTAGACGCTACTCACGTGCATGACTAGTGGCCACTTACGTAGACGCTACTCACGTGCAGGACTCGTTGCCACTAAGGTAGACGCTACTCACGTGCATGACTAGTGGCCACTTAGGTAGACGCTACTCGCGTGCATGACTAGTGGCCACTTAGGTAGACGCTACTCACGTGCATGACTAGTGGCCACTAAGGTAGACGCTACTCACGTGCATGACTAGTGGCCACTTAGGTAGACGCTGCTCACGTGCAGGACTCGTGGCCACTAAGGTAGACGCTACTCACGTGCATGACTAGTGGCAACTTAGGTAGACGCTACTCACGTGCATGACTAGTGGCCACTTAGGTAGACGCTACTCACGTGCAGGACTCGTGGCCACTAAGGTAGACTCTACTCACGTGCAAGACTCGTGACCACTAAGGTAGACGCTACTCACGTGCAGGACTCGTGGTTACTAAGGTAGACGCTACTCACGTGCAGGACTCGTGGTTACTAACGTAGACGCTACTCACGTGCAGGACTCGTGGTTACTAAGATAGACGCTACTCACGTGCAGGACTCGTGGTTACTAAGGTAGACGCTACTCACGTGCAGGACTCGTGGTTACTAAGGAACAAGCTATGCCCACACTTATGAGTACCGCGTGTCTATGTAACCAACAACGTACAGGCAATAGATACAGGTGGTAGCTATGACGTATACATCACCAGTGACCCGCCGGTATTACTGCTGATTCTTTCCCCAAGTCAAATGTTGATCGTGTCACTAGTATTGGGTGTTGTCAGCTTTATGAATATAACTGTTTATAAATACCTTTCATTATTGATTTGTTGAGTCGTGAAACGCCGATCTTTTTCTTCGACAGAACACTCCCTGTATAAGTCATGTCCTGAAGAAACTAATCTGATAAGTTGATAGCGCTATTGTTAATGAGTGTACAATCATATCGCAGTCGTAGATATTGGCACGTGGGCCTGTCAATCACATCACAGAAGAAGGCGCAGTTGAACAATCGGGGGCATGTCAAAACGCAATAT